CCTCACGTGGCGAATGGCCCTCTCCACCCGAGTCCCAGGACGGAGGCCAGGGAGGCAGAGGGTCAGGTGGAGTCCTATTCTTTTAGCTACAGATGCTCCTGCCCTGCTGCTTTCTCAAGCTGCCGGCCTGCCCCACAGCACACGCACAGAGACGCAGCACACCGTCTTTACCTAAGGAACAAGACTGCCTGCTACCCATCGGCGGCGACCCCGACCTGAAGGGGAGCCATGTGGTGCCACAACAGCCCCCAGACAGGAGGGGCTGTGGAACCTCTTTGGGTCCCACCTGCCGGTCAGCACTCCCAACTGTTGTTGGCCCTGCCCCGACCGCCAGCCTGTACTCAGCCAGCTTGACCGGCCGTCCCCACTGCACCAAGACACAGCTCAACGGCCTCGTGGGAGCGCCAGAGCCCCTGGCACCCTGCAGGCAGATGCAGCCTTCCTCTCTTCTCCTCTGGGGAATGTTGCTCGAGAGGTTCCCTCACCTGTGGGCAAGGTCCCTCTATGTCAGTCATCCCCTGGGCAAACCCAGACTCACCAGACCTGGTACCTGGGCAGTCGGGCAGGACGTGCACTTCCCCAAGCTGCATGACAGCAGCATGCAGGTGCGTGGCCTGCTGGGCCACGTGCTCCTGCCCATTCATTGTCTGAAGTCTACATTGAGCGTCCACGTCCTCTCAGCCATCCCCGAGCAGCTGGATTTGGACTTTGAAGCTATGGAAAGCCGCAGAAGCGCTCTGGGAAGACAGGAAGGGACATGGCGTCTGTGGGGGAGCAGAGCGGCCTTCTCAGGTCATTTCCAGCGGGACTGTCAAGCGTCCCAGCCCCCTCCAGCCACACACAGGCACATTCACATGGCCAGTGGGGACAGGGCAGGACGGGCTCCCAGACCTGGGGGCCGGTGGGCGTGGCATGCTCTTGGCCACGCAGCCCTTTCTCTGAACAGAGCTCGGGCTCGGGGGGCAGGAGGAGCGCAGAGCTGGAGGAGCAGGCCCGCAGGAGAGGCTCCAATGGGGGCTCTTCAGTGTCTGAAAGCTGTGCTGGCCCCATGCGCCCCAGGTAGGCAGGAGGTCCTGCCTAGTGGGGAGCTCACTACCTGTGGCCGCTCTGTGGCTGGCCACGTGGGTCTGAGCCGCTCTTCCAAGGATTCGGAACCCGCTGCTCTGGGCTCTCCCTGCGGAGGTCTCGAACCTGCTGGGGCAATGCCAAGGCTCGGGGCCAGCCACCTTCACTCACCAGCAGACGTGAGGCCAGCAAACCCTGCGGCTCTGTGTTCACGGCCACCGTCAGGGCCCAGAGCAAATCCTGGCTCCAGCTACCCGTGTGGGGGCCGTGCCCATCAACCACCACCTGGAAAAATCACCCAGGTAGGTTTTCTCCCCAGAGTTTCAGCTTTTCATTGGGGTTATTATGATTTTCCTTTGGAGGACACGTGGATTTATTAATTTGAATAAAATGGAAAATTTCAATATTTCAGAAATCAGATTGTGAAATACATCAAAATGCCACCCATCTACTTGACGGCATGCTGCAATCTGCTCATTCCCTTAAATCTTGTTTGGATATTTCTATTTGGCTTAAAAGGTTTCAATTCTACTATTTGTCACCATAAGTGTGAATCACAAGTGCCAAGGAGAGAACTGTAAGTGCTGCTAGATTTCCAGTAATCACACTGCTTTACACCCAGATTTAGGAATTAGAAGAAGTCTAGTACATCTAGAAACCAGAACCGTCAAATCAGGCCTACTGAGCGAGGGAAGGGGAATCAGGAGAAACGTACCATCAGGTTTTTAAAATCTCTCAACTCGTGCCCTTTTCTTCATTCCAGGTCTGCTCCAAACCTGTCCACGTCCCTCCCTCCATCAAGACTGGTCTGCACTGGGATTCGCCAGGTGGAAAGGTAAGTGGACATGCAGAGGTCCAGCTTCAGAGCCCACAGGAGGACGCCAGTCAGTTTCAAGGTGGAGAGACGCTGTCGTTCACAGTGGGACGTCCACATGGAAAAGGACAGGAGGGAAGAGGGCTGGTCTCCACCTGCCTGTGGGCCAGAGACATGCCCGGAGACCGCCAACCAGAGAGAGGTGGACTCTCACGGACAGACTCTCACCAGGGGTGACATGTGCTCTAGGGTTGGGTCAGTCTCTGTCCCTCAAGGTGGAAAGGTCAGTCTTCTGGTCACCTGGGGACCAGACGGCGGTTAACTCCAGCCAGGACAGAAGGGAGAAACTGCTGCTATGACGGCGGGTCTGCCCGGGCCTTGCCTGCCCCTGTCAGAGGACCCTGGCCACAGGGTTCACTCAGCCTGGGTTCACTCCTGGACACTGGGCACCAGACCCACCACAGTAAGAACCAGAGAGAGCCCTGCCCTCGTGGGGTTCACTCCAGGGGAGCTGGAGGGGCACAGGGTGAGGTCCCGGTTTCCTCTCAGAACGACTCCCCATCACCTACACCGATTCTGGACTCTTCAGGCCCAGCACCTCCTAGAACATGTTTGCAGGTAGGGAGGAGGGAAAGCCGGAACCGAGACCCACATTAAGCCTAGGGCCTTAAGAGCCGCCCGCCTGCTGGGGAGCGGAGGGGAAGCCGACCCCCAGACCCAGCCACCTGTTGGGGGGCAGGGACTTCAAGCTGGGAAGCTGACTGAGCAGGGGTCCCCCGGGACATCAGAGCAGGCGCAGAACTTGTACACAGAAGCCCCTCAGGAGACCTACACTCCCTGCTGAAGACAGAGTCACAGTGACAAAGCCAAGTCCTCATAACCACACAGGAAAATGAACTCCCTGGGGGGACTACGATGCCATGGGCACGCGCTGTAGAGACCCAGGATCAGGAGACAAGAAAAGATCGAAACTACAAAACAGATAGGTTAAAGTTGATTCAGAAGATAAAAGAAGGCATCAAACCCATAATAAAAGCAGAAGACAACAGGAAACAAGAACAGATAGATCTGAAAAAAAATCAAACATGACACTTTTTCCTAGAAATTAAAAACATAATGATCAAGAAGGGCATCTAACACTTGAATTTTATAACAGATTAGACACAGAGCAAAGGGGGTTTGGGAGATAATGGAGGGAATGACCCTCAGGGTAGCCCTAGAGATGAAGAGGTGCGGGGAGGGAGAGCCAGAGATGGAGGGCGAGGGTCCAACACCTGTCTGGTCAGGAACTGCACCAGAGCGCTCACTGTGCCCAGGTGTCTGGTGTCTGCTACCTCAGTGGACCTTCTGAGAGCCCCCGAAGTGGACACTGAGATTACTCCACTGGATGGCAGAGGAAACTGGGCCCAAGGTCAGGCCCGAGGGACTGGAACGTGGCAGAGGAGCCCAGGCGCGAGCAGAGTGGGACTGACCATGGACAGCAAGTCACCTGTCCGCCTCCAGCTCCTCCAGGCTCCATCCCCCACAGGTTCGGGGCCTCCGTCCCCTGGCTCAGGTTTGTGTTGGCGACAGTAAGGAGTTCAGCGAGTACCCGTGGGGGCCGTGCCTGGGGGGCAGGTGTCAGTGGGCTGTCTTTCCACAGAAGAGCAGGAAGGGGCGTCCAAGTGCCCGGCACTGGCCACCCTGCCGTGAGCCCTGGGACCTTGCCTGCCACGCTGTCGGCCTGCCCAGCCCTCCTCTGGACAGCACCCACTTCGTGCCAACAGAACACACTTTCCAGCCATGGCCGGGTTCCGCGTGGCCCAGCTGCGGCCTCTCGCAGGAAGACTGGCCGTTCCGACTTTTCCCCGATGGGTGCACCAGCGCCCTTGGCCCTCATCAGCCTGGTCCACTCCCAGACACTGGACACCACTGCTCCTCCCGGAAGGACCGGAACCTGAAACACTCCTACCTGCTTGAGCAGGGGCAGGGACAGGCAGCCATGTCTGCCCTCCCACCACGGGCTGGCCCTCCCAGCACCTGTCCTCTCTGTCCGGGGACACGGACAGCTCCTGGGAGCCCAGGACTGACTTTCTCTCGCCCTCATTGGCTGCTGAAGACAGCGAGCTGGCCACTGGAGGCCAGGATGCCTGCAGCCGGAGCGTCGGCACCGACGCACCATGACACTGTGTCTGCCAGGCCCCGGGTGATCTCGGAGCACCCCACCAGCGCCGGTGTGCCCGCACTCTGCCCCTCTGCTGCCGGGCACTCCAGCCCGCCCGCGTGCGCTTCTCGGGGGCACAGGGCCTCTGCTGAGGAGCGCGGCGGCCAATTAGGCTGCTCTGCTTTCAAGAGCCCAAGGCCCAGGGCTTGGTGAAGAGGAGATGTCCCCACAGAAGCAGCCACTCTTTAAGTGGCTCCACAAGGACGTTTCCACCACGCGGCAGGGACACTCATAAGTCAGCGCTACTTCACAGTTAATTATCTTTAATGGCAAGTGCTGTGAAATCTGAAATCTCAGACGCAAGGGCATAGATTGGTTTCAGTCCCTGCTGACTTACGAGTGGCCACATACCTCTCCTGAGGGGAACCAGTCTGCTGCTCTGGAGCAGTTCGTCAGCTGCCCCGAGGCCGGGAGGGTGGCCATGAGGAGCAGGGAGCAGTGAGACCAGCCTCCCTCCCTCCCTCACTGACAGCCTGCCCAGGAGCCAGCCTGGCCGGGCTGGACACAGGTGTCGGGGGACTTACATCACACCATGAAGCACCGTGCTCATGTCTTTCCCCAAATATCTCTTTAAATAATGAGACTCAAGTATGTCCCCCGACCCCCGGGAGCCACGATTTCAGGGACCGCTCATCCTCACCACTTCAGCAGTTATGACACAATGGGAAGAAAGGCTCGTCTTCTGGTACCTTCTCTGCCTGGCTTATCTGTGACTGATCTTTCCTGGGAACACACCATTACGACGCCGACGGCGACCTGCGACAATGCCAACTTTGCCACCACCTCCCATCAGCATCGCCGGCCACCCTTTCTCCCCGGCCTAGTGAGTCCAAGCACCGCTCGCACTTGCTCCCCAGACGCCGCCAGACGCGACCCATGCTGCCCACCAGAAGTGAGGATGCGCCTCACTGGACTCACCGGCCCGACGCCACTGTGAAGGATCCTCAGTCCAGAAGCCTTCTCCAGCTGGTCCTTGTTGTCAGCTGTTAGGAGAAATCAAGAAGCAGAGGGGTCAGCCTAGGGAAGGGTCCTGGGGCACACAGCCGAGCAGTCTCCTGTCCTGACAAGTCCCAGGTGGCTGCCGGGGGCCTGAGGGGGAGATTCCCCAGGCCCCCATCCCGCTGTGCTGCCCTGGCGAGCCCTGCCCGGGAGGGGTGGCGGTCAGAAGCCGTCTACTAGGAATCCACAGGACGGTCAGGGCTTGATGAAACTGTATGGAGTCCTGCTTTGAAAACCAGAGTCTTTTTAAAAATGAGGTAGTGTTATTAATCATGCCATCACTGGGGACAGTGTTCCAGTAGCTAGCGTCGCGTCACCTGCAGGCAGGGCTGCAAGTGTGCCCCCCACCCCCGCCACAACGCAGAGCCACCCAGTTCCCCCCTCAGGGCCCAGCGAGAAGCAAGCAGATGGCCCTGCTCTGAGGCAAGCCCCCCCTGGCCCCTGCCTGGCTCTGACGAGGACGACTTCCAGGGATGGGCCACCTCACTGCCACGCCGGAGGACACGAGCTGTGGACACAATCAGCCGAGGCAAACAGAAACGCCGTTACCCCAGGGCTGCAGCAGACCACTGCCCCACAGCAGCGGGGGCCAGGGCACTGCCCTTGTGCCCCACTCTGCAGAAGTCCTCTCTGACAAAGTCCCTGTCACTCTGGAAATGGAAACTAGAAAAAGAGGGAACTTTACTGGAAACCCCATGAGTGGCCGGGCGGCCGGGAAGGGGCAGTCCCCTTCACTCTGTGACACTCCCGCCCGAGTCCTGGTGGGGAAGCCACCTTCAGAGCCACACACTGCCACCCAGCTGCCGCCCTTCCCTGGGGCTGCCACCATCTAGGACAAAGTCTCCCCTTGAACAAATGGATGTCATTGTTTCCCCCACAGGTAACGTCCCAGGCTCTGGAGGACCGAGGCTGGCGAGGAAGTGGCTGGGTTGGAGCAGAAAGGCTCTGGGACGGGAGCGGCACCAGGGCGGGGCGCACCGTGGATGGAAGGGAGGACTCGTTACGGCACACACGGCCACCAGTTTATCGGCCTCCTGCCACAAAGGAAGCATTGCCACTCACTGGCAAGCTATTTGGGGTGGGATAATAGTGAACTCTTACATAGGCTTAGGAAGAGAAAGTGCATAAAAATGAATTAAAACACCCCGGTGTCGCCACAGAGCAGGGTCAGACTTCAGAGCCAGCCCAACAGCCAGGAGGGATGATCCAGTCGGGGCGCCCTTCTCCTGGAGGCCAGGTGGCGAGTGCTCGCAGGCCCCGTCTGAGCAGGAGGAGGGTGGTGGGCGGGGTGGCTGGGGCTTGGTGTGTTCCGATAAAACTTCATACAGAAGAGCCAGAGGGCAGGGAGTCCAGAGGACACTGTCACTGCTTCTGAAGGGTGGGATGGCCTCAACCCTGCCTGGAAGCCGATCTAGACTGAGAGGCAGCTGCAGGAAGTGGCCGCTGCGGCCATCAGACCCTGTCACAGATCTGGTGCTCTGGGGGACTTCAGGGGCTCCTTAACCTGCTATCCTAAGATTCCCTTTGGGCGTGTGTGCAAGAGTGCTTTTTGATAAATCAGTCTGAGATGATTCACTCAGTACACAGAATAACCCGAGGGATCGCAAAGCATCCTTAGGGTTTCATTGGCAGTGTGGGACCTGACCGCCAGACTGGACCTCTTGGAGCTGAGGAACAGGGACACTGAGCCACATTCCTGACACGGGCTCCCAGGTGGCCACGAGACCTGCAGGGCAGAGTCTGTACCACCTGCCCGTTTCCAGGCCAGGGCCGGTGCATCGGTGCTCAAATGCTTGGGTCCTTTTCCAACAGGCCCAGACGCATGTCTCTCGGTGCTTGTGGCATGTCTGCAGACCGCCCTGACTGCTCCTCAACTTAGTTTGGTCACAACCACCAGCAGTGCCGCAGACAACCTGACCGGGCGCTTGAGCACGATTGTTCTTAAAATACCAATGAGTTTCAAGTCAGGGGAGGGACTGGTTTGCTTCCAAAGTAATTCAAGGCTCAACTCTAAATAAAAATTGGAATAATAAAGTCCATACCACCAGTGAAAGGCTGGCAGCCACTAGAAGTCCTCCTTACCCAGCCCCCAGAATCACCTGGACCGTGGGTTTCAGCAGGTGCTTTGGAAACAGAACACCCACGTTCCACAGCAGTGCACCGAGACTCAGGCGGGTCTCTATGCCCTAGGATCTGGCCATTGTGACCCGTGGTCTTCCCCTCACCAGGACCAGTGGCCAGCAGTCACGAACAGCGTCCCCAGTGGTCTCCTGGCATGTGTGACCACTTAGGAAAATCAGGAAGCGTAAGACTCTTCCCTGAGGAGCAAGAGCTGAATGCACATGACAGGGAGCCCTTTGTCAGAATAAAAGGAGAAGGCTGCAGGTGGAAAGTCCTGGGCCACCAGGGGCTCCGTGGCAGTGTGAAAACACAGTGAGGGGGACACAGGTGGAGGTGGGATGGTCCCAGGTGGTGGTGGGGTGAGGCCGTTTGGTAATGGCAGGATGGACCTGGCGAGGGCAGCCTATTACCTGGGAAATCAAAGTCAGCCATTGGGGATCCCCTCATTCAACCAGCGTCCCCAGGATACCATGAATAGCTCCGCCCCGCCCCCTGAGTGCCCACTCGGGCGTGTGGCTGGGAGGGAGGCGCTGTCTTGGGAGCAGCAGGGCAGTCCCCTGGCTGCGGCTGCCCTTGTACTCTGCTCTGTGCCCTGTGCCCCACATGCTCAGGGGAGGCTGCAGCCTGGAGCTCCCCCTCCCCACCTCTGCACCCGTCAGGGCCTCTGGGTGCTTGTGTGTCATACTGCTGGCCAACTGGCCTTCTGTTTCCAGCCTTAGAAGGACACAAGCTCACTAGAGCTGCAGTGTCTAAAAGACCGACCAGAACAATTCCAGGGGAGGAGAAGTTTATTTGGGGCTCACGGTTTCAGAGGTCTCAGTTCACAGACAGAGACTCGGTTCCTCAGGGCTCAAGGTGAGGCTAAATATCATGGAGGAAGAATCCGGCAGAGGGAGGCAGCTCACGTGACGACCAGAAAGCCGAGAGAAACTGCACTCGCCCGATGCACACACCCAGTCACCCCGAGGTCCTCCTCCAGCCATAACACCTGCGCAGTGACCACCCAGGTAATCCCGCCAGGGGATTAATTCTGTGATTGGGTAAGACTCACAACCTAATCGGTCCTCCTCTGCACCTTCTTGCACTGTCTCACACGTGAGCTTTCGAGGGACACCTCACATCCAAACCCAACAGCTGCTGTTTCCAAAACCTCCACAAGAGCAGAGCCTCCTCCTCTTTTCTACCAGTGAGTTTCCCTCTGATGCTCTAAAGTCGCATATAAAGCCACCCAGAAGCTCCCCTAACAGAGGCCCTGACACAGGCCACCCAGGCTCCTCCTGAGAAGTCGCCAGCCACACCCACTGCCATTTCGAAGGTCCACAGAGGGAGCCTTCACAGTGCCTCAGTTTCCCTTATGAAACCCCAACACTTGCTTGATGAGTGGCTGGAAGCTTAGGTAGGGCCCAGGCTCCTAGCATGGCCAATGACAATCAGTGTGTCTTTGGGACTGCAGCTGCCAGATCTATCCCTGTGGAGAGCAGGCTGCACCTGCCCTAGTGACTCCATGGTGTGCAGGACAGCAGCTCTCAGGCTGTGCCTGCCCTAGTGACTCCATGGTGTGTATGAGAGCAGTCCTCAGGCTGCCCCTGCCCTAGTGACTCCATGGTGTGTAGAACAGCAGTCCTCAGGCTGTGCCTGCCCTAGTGACTCCATGGTGTACAGAACAGCAGTCCTCAGGCTGCGCCTGCCCTAGTGACTCCATGGTGTGTAGAACAGCAGTCTTCAGGCTGTGCCTGTCTTGGGGGACTCCATGGTATGCAGAACAGCAGCTCTCAGGCTGTGCTTGCTCAAAGTGATTCCATTTCATAAAGCAGTAGTCTGTCTTAGCTATTCCCTTTTTAGTCCTAGGGCCAAGGTATAATGATTTTACACCTTGTTTGTACAAGTAAACAACCGCCATCTGCCCAACACAATCATAAGGCACAAACTAATCGTGCTATTAAACGTAGCCACCTGTGATCTTATCAAATCAAATTGGAAGTGCATGGATGCATGGGCTTATCAAACCTATATCTGAAAAACCAGGCTCATGAGCTCATCCAACATGTCAGACTGCTGAATGAAGTCACCCCCTCACCTAAGGCCCATGAAAGGCAGATCCCCAATACGGGATGTGGAGGTACCCTGAGGCCATCATCTGGTCCTCATCATGAGCCTGGGAAATTCACCACAGTGGACCTCCCTCCAGTTTCCAGCTCAGCGCAGCTTCTCCTGCCCATGATGGTGATTCCCAGCCCCCTCCAGGGTGCCCCTCAGCCGATGGCTCCTGCTGACCTCTGGAACTGCTGCCTGTCCTCCACACCCTTCCCCTGACAAGTTGGTTAAGCCCCTATCTGGCCCTGACAGCGAAGTGGCATTCTTTCTGCTCAGCCCCCTGAGCCTGGCAGCTGCTTTGATCCTTCCTACTGTAACCTACAGGTACCATCCCAGAAAGTGCCACCCGTGGCTGGGTGGTACAGACACTTTAGCTATCAGAGTAAAAGAACCTGTGGCTGCCCGGCTCTGGACTACCTGGTGACCTGCAGCTGCTGGGAGTGGTGCACCTGTGCGTTTACTGTTGCTCCAGAGTCTGCCGCTGTGGAAAGACAGCATGGATGGCCTAGGCTGAGGCATGGCCTGCTCTCCCGTACGGCAGCCAGGCGTGCAAATCACAGAAGGTGCTGTTGTTCACTGCTCTAAAATGCCAGCAATGGAGCTGGGTGCGGTGGTGCGTGCCTCTGATCCCACGGCTCGGGAGGCTGAGGCAGGAGGACTGCGAGTTCAAAACCAGCCTCAGCAAAAGTGGGGCACTAAGCAACTCAGTGAGACCCTGCCTCTAATAAAATACAAAATAGGGCTGGGATGTGGCTCAGTGGTCGAGTGC